TGTCTCCGTGCCCGTGTCTCGCGGTTTGCCTGCTTTTGCGTGTATGCGTCTCTCGAGCTGTTCCCACCGCATTCGCTTCTGGCCTTACCGCCTCTGGCACCGCCTGCCCTTCCACCCTCAAGGGCAAAAAATGCGGCAGCTGCAGCAGCATCGACAGCAACAGCAGCAGGAGCAGCTGGGGAGCCAGTGGGTGTTTTGTGCTGCTTGTTGTTCAGGCCTTGGTCGAGTCCGCTTTCTTTTCTAATTTGGGGTCTCTTGCAGCGCCATCGTTACTGCTGCAGCAGCGGCAGGAGCTCCTGTTGCTGCTGGGCTGGTGGTTGCGCCTAAGTGCCTTTCTCTCCAACACGGCAGCGCAGCTGCAGCAGCTACTGCTGCTGCAGCAGGACACATTTGAAAACTCCCGCCGCCAAGCGAAGCATCAAGTGGGCGCTTCAGTCTCACCCGGCCAGCGGCGTGAATCGCAGCAGCAGCAGGTGGTCTCACTTGCTGATTTGATGCTGCGCCCACACCCAACTCGCGGGTCTTCTTTCGTACAGTTGCTGCTGCTGCATCCCAGAGACAGCACTGCTGCTGCGGCAGTGGCAGCTGCAGCAGAGGAGGCAGGGGCGCAGCTGGAATCTTCGCCGCAGTCTCAGCAGCACCCCGATAAGGCAACTGCAACAGCAGCAGCGCCTGCAGTAGCGGCAGCAATGGGAGCTGAAGAAATCGCAAGCGATGTGAAGGGGGCCTCAAGGAACAGTGAGAACAGAAGCAACAACAGCAGCAGCAGCACTACGCCGAGAAAAATGCAAATGAAGGAGGTCATCGACCTTTGCAGCAGCAGCAGCAGCACCAGCCCTAGTAGCTGCAGCCGCAGCAGCTGTGACGAGGTTCAGATCGACCGGTGCGTGTCTCGGCCTCTTAGGCCGCGCAGCACAGAGGAAACCCCGAAGCACCTGCATGCTGCCTCTCGCCGCCGTCTCCGCAGCAGCAACAGCAGCGACATTAAGAGCAGCAACTGCAGCAGTGGTGGCAGTGCCAGCAGGAGCAGATTGGAAGCTTTTGCGTGGTGTTTCCCTTGTTCGACAGCTGAACATTTGGCTGCTCGCCTCCTCAATGTTTCCTCCGACCCTTTCTTATTTTCGTCCCTGGACTGCTGTTGCTGTTGGGACGTCCGCCTGCCGGAGCACCCAGGACTGCGGGGCCTCCGCGCGGCCTGCAAGGCCCTTCTTCCCTGGCAGCTGCAGCAGCAGCAGCAGCAGCAGGAGCTATGTGCCTACGAGGTCTTGTCCCGCCTCTGGCGGCTTACTGCCGACCCGCTGGCTGGGCAGTGCTGTTCGCCTAGGGTGCGGCAGCAAGAGGAGCAAGTAGAGGCGTCGGGGTCACCTGGGGGCTCTCAAGGGGCCTCTGAGGAAAGTGGCTGTTGGACTACAGGGGTAAGGCCTGCTCGTAGCTGCTAGGCACTCGCGGGAATGCCGTCGAGGCGAGCCGCGATTGCTTTTTTGCTGCGATCCTTTGTGTCTACCTCTTCAGGAGCTCCCGTCCCTCGTTGCTGCGGGCCTGTGGCTACCAGCGCTAGCGTTTGTGGGGCCCAAACAGCAGCAGCAGCAGCAACAGCAGCAGAAACCAGAGCAGCAGCAGCGACTTAGAGACCGCACACTGTGGGGAAGGCGGCAGCTGGTGCACCTTGCCTCCCAGCTGCTGCCTCAGACCTCGAGTGCCGCTAGCAGCGCTCATGCTTCACCCGACAAACACCCGCACAGCAGCAACGGCAGTAACAGCAGCAGTAGTTGCCCCAGCAGCAGAAGCAGCAGCAGCGAGTCAGGTGAGAGCTTGTTTGTTTACCGGTGGCTCCGTGGCGCCATCAAGGCGGTGGAAGAGGCCACCGAAATCGCGTTTTTGTCGGAGGCCCCAAATGATGCCAATGAGGAACTCGTAATAGCCTAAAAGACCAAACGCACGTGCAAACAAGCATACGTGCAACCGAGCAAAATGCATGCAGACTTGACTGTGAAAGCAAAAGAGCCAAACACCAAAGGCAGCAAATCATGCAGCAGTAAGCCGCATCTACGCGGCAGCGAGCAGCGACCATGGCACCTTCTGTGTGTCTCAGCTCCCCAAACGTAGGAAGGCGCTGCTGCGCATGCCCAGGTGTAGGCCATTAGAGACCGCGGGGCTACTTGTATGTGGAGCCCCAGCGGCCTTGGCCTCCCGTGTTGCCTCGACGCTTTCGAGGACCTGCCTTGCTCCCAGGCCACTTTTTGGCCTCCTACGGGGGGCTTTCGGGTGTGCTTCGGCCCCCAGTGGGGCCCTGTGTGCCCAACCTTCGCAGCGAGTGGTAGTGGGTAGTTTGTGCCTGGCGGCGCCGCATTGTTTGCCAAATAACTGCCTCGACGAGAAGTCGAACTTCGTTCAATAACGAACTCCGTTTCTCTCTTTGCCGTCTCTTTCGGCTTTTGCCTCTCCGCCAGTTTTCGACTCTCTGTTTATTTCCTCCTCAACGCCCGCTCGCAGCCTCTCTGACTCCGTTTCTCATCGCACAGATCCTATTATAGTTCTTTGCAGGCTTTACTGTTCCATTTTATACCGGCTGGTCTGCGCCCATTGCCTATCTGTTTGCTGCATTCTGTTTCTCCAACTTATTTGCTGCGTCCGCCCCTCCCCGTTGTCTGTGCGTTACCTTTGTTCTCCCGTTGACTTTTTGGACATCTTCTACCTTTCTCACTGCATACTAATCCCCCATTTTACAACTGACTAAAATGAATTGGCACTCTGTCTCGCGGCCTGCTCCTGTCTTTTTCACTCTGTGCGATTTGCTGCTTCTGTAACTCTGTTTCTGCGCCTCTGTGTCAAGGACAAATCTAAAGAGCATTGTTGTATAGCAAACAAATGGCCACGAGGGCCCGCGGGGACTGATTATGGGCCCCACCGCAGTCTCATTACCCTTGCCCCTGTCCACTTCTGTGTTGTTTTATTTGCTTGTTTCTCGTGCTGCATCTGTGCTGGTGCAACAGCTGCGCTGCCGCAGCACCTACGCTGCTACTGCAGGTACGCTGCTGCTGTGGCTATGCTGCTGCTGCAGAGCCGCCGATGCAGCTGTGATGCTGCTGCTGCAGCTGTGGAGCCGCTGCAGCAGTGCTGCTAATGCCGCTATGCTGCCGCTGCTGTAGCGACACAGCTGCTGCTGTAGGCGTGTTCCCCGTTCGCCTTGTATGCTGTTATCCCTCGCCCGGCGTCTCCTAGCGTTGGAAGAGACGATTGCACTTTATGCACTGGTGTCTTGTCTTGTAATTGAGGGCCCCACACTTCCAGCAGCTCCAGTACAGGTGAGGGTGAGTCTTGGGGGTCACCCGGGTGCCCCTGTCCCCCTGCGATCCCCCACCGACACTCAGCATGGTCCCCCCAGGGCCTCCCGCAGCCGTTGCTGCTGCTGCTGCTGCCGATACTGCAGCAGCAGCAGCAGCAGGCATGGAATCCCCCTCCGGTACAAAGGTATAGTTGCCACAAGATAGCCCAAATGCCTTCCTGTAGTTCTGCAAGTCAAAAACGGAGCCCTGCAGACTGTGAGGGGCCCCCAGGGGGCCCCCAATACCGCCGCAACTACCGCCGCCCGCCTCAGAAGTAAACGTCCTGCTAGCTTTGTCAAATATGACGATCTTGTCGTCTGACTGGGAGTCGCCTGTCGCTGCCCCTGCTGCTGCCCTTGCAGCAACTGCTGCAGCAGCAGCAGACGGAGCGGCGGCGCTGTGATCCGGCGAAGTCGACTTGTGTTTCCCCTTTTTCTTATGTTTACTTTTGTGTTTTTTTTTGCCTTTTTTTTTGCTCCTCCTGTGCCCGTCGCTTGAGGACGAGTCACTTGAACTAGGGGACAAAGAGCGGGATCGGCTGCGTCTCTTCTTTCTCTTCTTCTTCTTCCTCTCACTGGACGAGTCAGACGAACTGTCTGAGGAAGCCTCCCTTGGGAGATTTTCTAGGGCCTCGAGCAAAAAGGGCTCCAAAGGGCGTGGCATTGGTGTGTACTCAGGGGACCCACGGCGGATGTGGATGGGCAAGTCATCCTCTCCAAAGTTCTGCAGGGCCTCCCGGGGTCCCCTCCATCCTTTCCGCCGCCGGACCATTGGTCAACACCCCTGGACGATACGTGACACCGGAGGAAGGCCCAGAGACAACGCAGATATATGGGGGTCCGCAGGGGACCCCCGGGGGCCCCTCAGAATGTATGGGACAGAGGATCCCCCAACACGCAGAGCCCAGACGATGAGCAGGGCCAGCAGCCTAACACCTGGGAGACAAAGATGAAAAAGACCTGCCAGGTAAAGTTGATGCAGAGGATGAGCCAAAAAAGCGAAATGGGGCCCCTGTGCACCCTCTGTGTACAATTACGGATACCGTCGAGGGCCTCGTTCAATCAGAACCATTCACCCGTGTCAACCTGTTTGCAAATTCTCTAAAAAAGCAAGATATAGAGAAATACGGCAAAAATAGGCGCGAGGGCCCCCAGAGTCTTGCAGGGGCCCCCTGACCGCCAAGCGGCCGGGTACACGATCACGGGCGTTCAGTAGATACTTCTTGCCCTCAGTAAATGAGTGAGACAACAGATGAGGCTGAACACACTTTTGTCAAAAAAATATAAAGAAAGGGAAAGAACAAGCAGCGAAACGTCTCACTTTGGTGCGGTCTGTGGGGCTGCTGGGCAGCTACGCTTGGGTCTGCCGCGAGTGGGGAGGGTCTGCCGTGAGCTCTCTTTCTCAATACCTCGATTCATTCTCGCCGTCAAAAACATGGGAAACAGGATAAAATTGTTTTATTGCTATATGTAAGCTGGAAAGCCCTTAAATAGATTGGCGAAGGTCTCAGAAGCTGTGAGACCCTGCGTGCTCTCCAGGCTGCGTGCAACGGAGCCTAGCGTAACCAAAGGGGGTAGCGTGTTGTCGGGAACTCCGACTTTTCTTGGTTTTCTGCATTGCTATTCAGTTGCTTCTAGTTTACTTAATTATATTTCGTGGTGTTTCCTCCAAAAAATGCGGGGAGCAGTGGCACTCTCTGCCGCCAGGGCGCTGTGGGCGCGCAGCCGTGCCCCCGCAGGCCTCGCGGGCGCCCTAAGGAACAACGGGGTTTTTTCAGGTGTACGTACGGCGGCGGTTGGCACTCTGTCTTCGTTAGCAAGGTGAGGAACCTTCGCGATCTACCAGAGGCGGGGGCTTCCAAGAGCAGCAGCAAGCCCCTTACACTCGACACTGTTGCAGCGTCGGCATGCGGTGGCTGTAGCGTTCACTAGCGCAGAAATTTCGCGCATACGCTAATTAAATATGCATGGCTTAGGGATTGGTTAGTCTTGCACGCTTGTGCATCCGCGTCGTCGCACGGCTGGTGCTGGTGGCGATGCCGCGTCTCTGCTTTTTTGGCTCCGTCTGCCGGCCGTTTTGTAGTGTGTTGTTTCATTTTGGCGTGTGTTGTTTTTGTGTTGCTGTGATTATGCTTGAGGCCCAGAGTCTAGTGTTGCAGAGCGGAGTTGCATCTGTGTACCCGGTGTGTGTTCTAGTGGGTGTGCCGCTGTCTGTGTGTGTGGCAGTTTGCCTTCGTGCTGCCCTCGCTGCTGCTGTGTGTGCTGCTCTGGGCCTTTCCTGACTTCAAACTGCTCTCACGGCGCTGCGCTGCGATCTGCATCGTAGCCCCATTGCGGCAGCAGCTGCCTTTCTCCAGTGCCTAACTAATCTGCACATTCCCTTGATCAAGCCAGCAGACTGCGAGCAGTGGGATAGTAATTTAGATTTTCTTTCCCTTGTGTTCTCCGCAGCCGGCGTGGCTTCAGCGGGGTACGGGGGGATGTTGTGGGTATCGACTTGGGCACAACAAACAGCTGCGTGGCAGTGATGGAGGGCTCTCAGCCGAAGGTGCTGGAGAACTCCGAGGGCATGAGGACAACTCCGTCGGTGGTGGCCTTCACAAAGGACGGCCAGAGACTGGTGGGTGTAGTGGCGAAGCGGCAGGCCATCACCAACCCTGAAAATACCTTTTTCAGCACTAAGAGGCTCATCGGGAGGTCTTTCGACGAGGAGGCAATCGCAAAGGAGAGAAAGATTCTCCCTTATAAAGTCATCAGGGCAGACAATGGCGACGCCTGGGTTGAAGGTTGGGGCAAGAAGTACTCCCCCTCACAGGTGAGGCAACATGCTCAAGAGTTTAGGGTGTATGGTCTGGGACTAGAGGGTAGGGTTTGGGCCTGGGGGATAGGGCTTGGAGCATACAAGTTGGAGGACTGGCAAGAGCCGCTCAGTTAGGAGTGCAGTGGTGAGAGTCATTGGTTCTACTGCAGTTTCGCTGAGCTCGTGTCAGTGTGCTCTTTTTGCGTCTCCATTCCTTCTGCTATTTCTCTTGCTGCGCTTTCCCCAGATCGGCGCCTTTGTGCTGATGAAGATGAAGGAGACTGCTGAGTCCTATTTGGGGCGCGATGTGAACCAAGCAGTTATCACAGTTCCAGCGTACTTCAACGACTCACAGAGGCAGGCCACAAAAGACGCAGGGAAGATCGGTTCGTCTGCTGCAACGGGGACTTCCTTCAGCTGTTTCTAGTTGTTTTTGTCTACTTTGTTTATGCATTTGGCAGTCTCAGGGACGGGTTTTGCCGCTTGTTCCCTTTGTTGGAACGCGATTGTCTCTCGCTTGTGACTACCAGTGGCTGTGTTCTGGGCTTCACTTTTAGCCTCTTGCAGCTCAGTTGTTTTCTGTTTGAAGTGTGTGTGCTGTCTTTTTTTTCATTTTCTCCTTGTTTGTGTCACTTTGCCGGTTTTTGCTTCGCGTGTGCCTTTGTGATGCTTCCTGTGCCTGTGCCCGTTACCCTTGCGCCCTGTTGTTTCTGCCTCGTTCATCCCTTCGCTTCTGTGTATGTATTGGGCCTCAGCGGGTTTGGACGTCCTCCGCATAATTAACGAGCCCACTGCCGCCGCCCTGGCCTACGGTATGGAAAAAGAAGACGGGCGCACCATAGCTGTCTATGACTTGGGTGGCGGAACTTTCGACGTTTCAATCTTGGAGATACTGGGAGGAGTGTTTGAGGTGAAGGCGACCAATGGCAACACCAGCTTGGGAGGGGAGGATTTCGACCAGAAGGTGCTGCAGTTCCTGGTGAATGAGTTTAAGAAGAAAGAGGGCATTGATCTTAGCAAGGACAGGCTGGCTCTGCAGAGGCTACGCGAGGCTGCGGAAACGGCCAAAATCGAGCTGTCTTCGAAGCTTTCAACTGAGATCAACCTACCATTCATCACCGCCGACCAATCCGGTCCCAAACATCTGCAGGTCTCCCTCTCTCGTGCCCATCTCGAGGAGCTGGTGGGTGCACTCCTGCAACAAAGCATTGAGCCCTGCGAGAAATGCATAAGGGACGCAGGGGTGCAGAAGGCTGACCTGAGTGATGTCATTCTTGTGGGGGGAATGACCCGCATGCCCAAGGTTGCTGAGGTGGTGAAGAGCATTTTCCACAAGGAGCCCTCTAAGGGCGTCAACCCGGATGAAGCTGTGGCGGCCGGCGCCGCAATACAGGCGGGAGTCCTGAAGGGCGAGATCAAGGACCTGCTGTTGCTCGATGTATGCCCTCTCTCTCTCGGCATTGAGACGCTCGGAGGCGTCTTCACGAGACTCATCAACCGCAACACCACCATTCCCACCAAAAAGAGCCAGATTTTCTCTACTGCCGCGGACAACCAAACACAAGTTAGTAATTTAATGTGCTGCTACCGCTTTTAATTTTGTGGTAGGGCTTGCTGTTGTTGGACATTGTGACTGTTTGTGCCTTACTTGTTCTGCTGCAGCTTCTGGTTGTTGCTGCTGCTGTTGCGCGTAATTGTGCTGCAAGCGCTCTGGTTTCTGCTACTTCTTCGTCAGCCGCCTACAGTGCGTAGCATTGCCTGCTGCTGCCAGCGCTTAGCCCGCTTGTGCTGCAGTATCTATTCCTTGCACTGATACTGCTTTTGCCGCAGGTGGGCATCAAGGTGTATCAGGGCGAGCGTGAAATGGCCTCTGCGAACAAGCTGCTGGGTCAGTTCGATTTAGTGGGAATTCCTCCAGCTCCTCGCGGTGTCCCCCAGATTGAGGTTACCTTCGACGTGGACGCAAACGGCATTATGAACATCAGTGCAGTAGACAAGTCAACAGGCAAGCGGCAGCAGATTACTATTCAGAGCAGTGGAGGACTCAGCGAGGCACAGATTAAGCAGATGGTGGAAGACGCGGAGAGGTTCAAAGACGAAGACCAGAGGCAGAAGGACTTAGTTGCCGCCAAGAATGAAGCGGAGACGCTCGTCTACTCCGTGGAGAAGCAGATCAGTGACCTGAAAGTACGCACACGAGATGTCACTGCAGAAATGAGGCATCACCCACTGACGCAGAACCTGAATACGGATGCCAATATAGACGAATTTGGAACGAAATACCCTAGTGCCACGGGGAGGCCAAGGAGAGAAGGAATAACAATTTTCGTTCTGCTCCCGGGTTTTGCTCCCGTTGTTTTGCCGCCTGTTTTTTGTTGATTGACAATGTCTGTGCCGCGTTTTTTCGTTTGTTAATTCTCGCCCTACGTGTTTGCGCTCTTGACAAGTTATCGTGTAGACAGTGAACTGTTCTTCTTCATTATTCTTAGTCATATGCTTGGAAGGCTTAGTTTCGTTTCAATGTATTCTCCCCACACCGTCTGTTGAATGTGCTGACAGGACAAAATATCTGCTGAGGACAAAACCGATCTAGAGAGTCGCATTCAGGAGTTGCGCTCAGCTCTAGTCGAGGGCGAGCTGGAGACAATTCGCTCTCGCGTAAAGGCTCTACAGGAACTCTCGTGGAAAGTCTCACAGCAAGCCTACAGCCAGGTATCACGCCTCTCTTGTCATGCCTTCATTCTAAGCTGTAGCTCATAGTCTAGGCTTATTGCTTTTCGTGAACTAAAGCGTGCGCATGGACGAATGTACAAGTTTTTAAAGAACCTGCAGGCATTCAATTAGTCGCAGCGAACGGGTGTGGAATGCAGAGCCACCGCTGCAGCATGAGTTGCTGCAGCGGTCCAACTGTTTTTGCTTTGGTTTGCTTGTATTTTTGTCAGAGCAACAGCACATCTGCTGACGGCGACAGCAGCAGCACGAGCAGCGGTGACAGCAGCAGCAAGCCGTGAGACTGGCAACAGAAACGGCTTCCACTGCTGCAGCGATGGTTGAAGGAATGAACATCTAAAGATTGGGTGGGAGGCAGATCGCTGTCACCCGGCCTCAGCTTCCAAATCGGGACATCTATTAATCCGAGTTTCCTAGTTGGGCATTCAGCAAAAAGCAGCAGATTTTGTTTTTCTCTCATTCGATCTCCTGCCTCAGCGTGCGCTATCGCTGGTTCCGCTTGCCTCTGATATCTCATGGCCGCGCCGTGGCCCGCCACTGCTGTCTGCATTTGTCTTTGTTGTCGTCGTTTCGCTGTCCATCTCTTTGTCTTTATCATTCTGGGGCTTTTGTTGTCTACGGCGTTTCTGTTGGGAGCTGAAGGAGGCGTACAAAAATAGGAGAAAGAAATGAGACGAAAATGAACACAACGCGCTTGCTTATGAATGCACAGCCAGCCAGACAAGCAAGACGCCCACAGAATGCGCCAGTAGTGAACCGAGCCCGTTGTTACGGAATTTGCGGTAGCTGCAGCAGGAGTAGCTGCTGCTGCAGCAGTTGCTGTTGACGGGAGGGTTGGTGGTAGTTGGCAAGAGAGTCTGCCTTTACTTGTGAAGACCGTGTCGGCGGTTGATGCCGTTTTTCGCATATGGTTTTCTTTTGACAAATGCAAAATTAGTTAGACCCAAATGTACTGTTTTTATTTAAACAATACTGAGTAGCGAGCCGTCGTGAGCCCCAACGACCCAGTAGCTAATGGCAGCCGGATTTAGATTTTAGACGCGGAAGATGATCAGAGAGAGTTGACTGGTACTAAGCGGAAGCAACGCGCTATTGAGGAGGCAGTTGCTTTAGCAGTGCTGTGTACACTACGAAGACTTCCCTCGAGGTCATTTACTTCGAGGTAACACTCTGAGCTGCCCGAGTAGTCTACCTTCAGTATGGCGACACCGAGCCCTACCAGTGATGTGTCCTGCTCCACTCGGCGTTCCGGGGTAGGATACGAACAGCAGTACCGGATGAAAAAGAGCTGAGGAGTACACTGTCATTTGCAGAGGGTTCCAAATGCGCCCTGGAGTGCTTCTCTGCAGCTAGAACTAACCGCGTCCTGTTATCTCTGTCTTATATTCAATAAGCGTCTGAGGCTTAAAACTGAGAGGGAAGGGAACGAACAACTGTATACCTATTAGTTAAAGGACCATGCGTTTTTTGCGGACTACGGATATAAAGTGGAAGCCCGCAGAGAGAAAGCAGCAGGCATACCATAGGATCAGCGTGGTCAGCTAAATTGTTGCGGTGAACAGCCCGGGAAGCTGCCTGCTGTGTTGAGACTTGCCATGCTAAGTGTTCTTTCCCTAGTCCCAGATTACAAAACACGCAAATTGTTTTGACGGTTGGTTTGGATCTAAGTGCCTTGCAATCGTCTTCCGCATGGTAGGCTAAGCAAGGACTGGTTCACAAAGTTTCACGCTGAGGTGCAAGCAAAGGCAGGGGACCACAAGGAAGACAAATGCTGCCCTCGCATCGGAGCCACGAATTTCCAAAATACCAGCATAGGGAAAGAATAATAGAGCGACACGCAACACAGAGACACAAGTGAGAAAGCCATGTCAAACAAAGAAGCACTGGAGACGTGCTTGGCATGCAACGAGCTTGTGACTGCATAGTTGATAAAACGATGGAGGCAAACAGAACGGACAATCAGGAGAGGCCCCCTAACACTGAAAATGCACTGTTTTGCTCCCCCCTTTCGCTGCGCATCTGCAGGCTTAACATTTCCTGCGAATACACTACAAAAACCGTCCCCACCTTCCCCGCTTTGAGCCCTACTCGGAATATTTCTACAAGTGTGGCCAACTGCCGTGTAGGCGCAGCTTCCTGCTGCCGGGGTGTACTATGCGCACAACCCGAGTGCGATCTCTCTCCTGAGAGCCTTTCGGGAAGAAAGGCGGGGAGCAGGTAACGCACAACTACTAATCATTTAGCTGTCGAATACAAATACATACATTTCATGATGTGACTGTGTCGTCTCCATGCCGCTGTGCAAAAGCCTACAGCTCACTGCACATGCATGAGGATACAAGTTCTACGTTTTTCCTTAATTGCGTTTGGGTGTTCTGCACTTGTATTTTGAGGAACGCACTTCCAAACTCCTGAACGAATGTGTATCAATGCTGATTAGATGAAGTGTGAATGCATGCGCATGGATCGGTAAATGTGTATGAAAGGGGATGCGCATTGGTATGCTCGTATATTTTTGCCTGGAAATTAATATGGAATTGTGCCGGTGCACTGATATTCATGTATATGTAGGCTTATGGACATGTATACGGTACATATATATAAAGTGCATGCACACTTGCTTGGAGCGCCCCACATATGCGAACAAGCCCATTAATCTGCTCTTCTCTGGGCAGTATCATTGGTGCTTTCCCTTTCGCCCTGATTCGCATCGCCTGGGTGACCTCTTGTAGCTCTTCAGAAAACTCGGGCGGCGATGCAGCTCGCCAGTCTTCGGTCTTATCTCCCTTTCTACGTTTGTTTGGAGAGCAAAGCGACAGCGAGGGGCAAAATGAGCAAGACAAAAATGGCAGCATTATCACGAGATTCTCCTCAGGCCCACATCGAGCTGGACTCGACGACGGGCTGCTCTCTGTCCTTGGCGGTGGCACTGGAATCCTCCCCTGTTTGATCGAACACCTCTGGGGCCCTTTCTGCCTTCAGAAGATGTTGCTTGTCTTCGCGTGGCTCCTCTTCCAGCATCTTGTTGTCTTTCTGCATGCGCCAAAGTATGAAGAACAGCAGGCCCAGGAGCACTGCACACAGCTGGCCGATAAAACGCAGCATTGCAGCCTGAGCGGAAAACACACAAATACAGCTGCACACAGATACACAAAGGAGTAGTAGTCTCGCACAGGGAGACAAGGTAGACCCACTGGCAATGCAAGGACAGAAGCAAAAAACTACTTTGCAGAGATAGTGCTTGAAAGCTAGAATGACACAACGGCTCATCCAAATTTCATCCACGCCACTTAGCACGCAAGTTGACGAAGACGAAGATAGTGATGACGAAAAATGACGCCCTCTTAGAGCTACATCTTAAAAGTGTGAGGGGGTTTGCCAGCATAAAAACGAGCACCAAAACGAAACGCGAAGACTGCCCCCAAAAAAGAAAGAATAAGCATAAGCGCAGGTAAAACAGTCACAGAGATCAATACCGTGCATACAGATCAGGGCAAAAAAATTGAGCAGCTGGGCCTTCAGGACAATACAAGCTACAAGAACAAACAGGACTGGGACACCTGTGTGCTTGTTGGTGTCTTTCAGGACAATACAAGCAACAGACACAAAAAAGGCAGCGACACCTGCGTGCTTTTTGGTGCCTTGCCGTATCCATCTACAGATCCTGCCCTCTGCATTTAGCTTGGTACTGCCTGTCTCTCGTTACGTGTATCTGCTAGTTCCATGCATTTTTTTCAGTTCCTGTTTTCTGTGCTTTATCTCACATTCCAAACTGCATCTACGCCTTCGTAGCAGCCAAAGTAAGTAGTTTGTATCATCCCTTCTCTCACAAAGGAACAGCTCATAGCGTCCGAGAGATTTTTCAGCACCTTCTGCATGAGGGCAAAAAGTGCGTTGATGTAGTCGACTTCGAATGAACAGGCAGAGAAAGACAGCAAGCAAAGTGATACAGCCATGAGCCCCTTACCTTCAACCCTACGGCCTGTGCACTCAACGCTGAAGGAAAGCCCGGTGCTGAAGCTCTCAAGCTTCAGGCATGCACATGCGGTAGTATACGTAACATTCCAGTAGCTACGGAGCAGGAGAAACTGTTGGGTTGTGCGCAGAGCAACGCAGGTTGTTGAACGCAGAGACCGAAGAAGAGAGAGAGGCAGGAACGAGGCACTGAAACATACAGAGAGTTAGAAGCAATAGATTGGCACACGCGATGAAAACATGGTGGCACGCAAAGCCGCGAGATGGGAGCTGGTCAATGGAGTAAAGGACAAGATGCTTACTAGTGTGTGAGGAAGCGAACTGCATCGTCTGATTGAAAGAACGGCCTGACAAGACAATAATTGAGTCGCAGTGCAACTGTTTCTATGAACCTACCGAGCTGTACCTCTGTGCAACTGTGGTGTCTTCGTCTCTTTATGGGTGTGCGGATGTCCGAAGCTGTTTGTTAATGCATGCATATCTGTGACTATGCCTGCTTTTCATCGCTGTCACTGTTGGTCAGCTTTTGTGTCTGCCTGCGTGTCCGCTCGTCACTTATTGTATTTAGCTATTTGGCTGCCTCGATTCGTCCGGCATCCCACAGGGAACACACAACCTGGGAACCTTACTCCTTCAACCCCCTGTTACCAGTGTCATTGTTGCTGCTGCTCATGGTGCTTCTGTCACCGATGCTGCTGCTACTGATGCTGCTTGTGCTGCTGCGGAAGCTTTTGCTTTTGTGTTGTTGCTCGTGCTCTCGCTGTTTGCGCAGCCGTCTATGATGCTGCTGCCTTCTTTGCTGTTTTTTTCTGCTGGTTGTCCCGCTGCGCTTCCAACAGTATCTGTTGCTGATGCTGCTGCTGTCTTTTGCACACTTTGCATGAGAAGAGTTGCTGGCCGAGTGCAGTTGGTCTTTGTGCGTCTTTATTTGATACGACGTACGTGCAGTTGCCCGTGCGGAGGCTGCTATGATGAGAGAGGCTGTGCTGCGTTTTACTTACTAGAGACGGTAAGGTAGTACGCAGATTGCTCGATAATATTCCAGGAGCCGAGTTTGGGCTGGCCGAACATCTCGTTGCCCGTGCAGTTGCCGCGCTTGGCTTGCCCGTCGCTTGAGTATCGGTAGCAGGGCATAATTTCGTCTAATAGCTGCAGCTTTTGTTTACACAGCAGCACGGCATTGCGCATCTGCTGCGCATACGCAGCTGACTTTTTTAGGTAGTCCTTATCCTTCGCTGCAAGTAGCTCCGATTGCTGCAGATCCAAAACATAAAACGTAAACGCCCCAGGCCCTAGCTAAGTGCTGAGGAGGAATTTCTTGTGTGTTTGATTCGTGTCTGTTGAAAAATCCTCTGCTTAGGTCTTGTCACCTAGCTTTCTCTGCTTTTTGCGGGAGTGGCACGAGCTTCACCTTTTTCGCTTGTATTTCTTTTACCCATTTCTTGAAGCTTTCATCGTTTTCATCAGGGTACTGCGCAGTGATGGTCAGCGTAGTGCTCAGTTGTTTATAGCCTTCCAACGCTGCGGGGGCCAACATGGCACTGATGTCCGCCAAGCCGTACACTTTCTGTTGAACTCCCTTGAGATTAGTTATTGTGCGTGTACTTATATTAACTCCGCTCTGACAAGCATATACAGGCCCTCACAAAGCCTCAGGCTTTACGATTTAGCGATCAAGAGGCTGCAGGAAAGGTGAATATACGTCTCGGTCCTCAAGAAGCAATCATGAAAAGTGCTAAATCCTGGCAGACCCACGAATACTCAGAACGCAAACTAGCTGTAGTGGCAGCAAACAGAAGCGAATGCAGCAGCCCTGGTAAAAAAATGCCCACGCTGAGGACTTCTGGAAATGTGTCAAGCAGAGGCTTCAAGTTGGGATCCTTCTCCATGAGATCCGTATCATAAACGACCAAATAGCCGAACTCGTTAACCCACTTCTGGATCTGCTCAATTTCTGCGGCAAACACAACCAAAACTAAACCAAAGCCTTTTGCTCTGAAAAGCATGCTGAGTTTGAAATGCAGAGAGCAAAATCTTAAGAGTCTTGACCTTATAAATTAAGCTCCGAACCACGGCCTGAAGGTGTAAACTAGCATCGGCTGCTGACTAAAGGCACTTCTGCCTTCGCTTTTCGATTGTAGATCCTATGCCAATGTGCTCGCGCATCGACTTTCGAGCAGATATTGGTTCCTGCTCACGGGTGACGACTTCGAATGTTTGGTATCGTGGTAGGGCGTTGATGAGGGCCTGGTGGGAGTTATTTAGCTGGACCTGAGCTTCAGTGATCAGAAACTCTTGACCTGCTGCTTCAAGAAAGTTATAGTTCTCGTGACTGGCGCACTCCTTGATGATGGAGCCAGACTCGCCTACGACGGAGACCGAGAAGCGGTCTATCTCGCTCTTGTCTGCGCTGTGTGTCTCTTCGTCATACACACCGTGCCTTCCATCTTCACTCCACAGAGTTTTTGACCCCACACTGCACAGCGGCGCCCCCACGGAATAAGCGACAAAGAGGGCTCCGGTAGTGATGAGCCCAAGCGAAACAAACAGCAGGATGATACCCCAGGAGAGGCCGCTTGCGGTAGCGCTCCGACGGCCGTGAGTGGTGAAAAAGAAAGCCAGAGCCACAACTGCGCAAACGATGCCGATAAGCAGCATCGCCGCTTCTGTCCAGATCAAAAACGGGACCAATGCAGCCACAGGAGAAGCGACGTCACAGACGTCCACGGCCACCTGCTGCATATGCGAGGTGCCTGACTCGAGGCCCTGCAGGTCCACGGCTTTTGTGAGGTCCAGGGATGGCAGGGGAGCTGCTGCCAGGGCTGAATCGACAGCGCTAGTGAGGCTATTTACGCCGGAGACAAATGGGTCATAAAAGTTGTTGCCATATTTGCTGACGGCTTCAGCAAAGAGGCTCTTCATGTAATGTTTCTGTGCTGCACTTTGAAAGCTTGTTATGTTGAACTGGAAGGCGGAGTTCGACTCATCAATTACCTCCAGTTTGTCCTCCACAGTGTCTTCTGTTCCCAGTTTTCCTTTGATTAGGGTTGCCAGGTTGTATTTGCTATCCGCTGACAGCAGCTGCTTCACGCCCTCCGCTGCCGCCCACAGAGATCGGACACCCAGGAATGAGCCCTTGCCTGCTAATAGAATTTTGGCCAGAAGGGGCGTGGAGCCGTCGCCACTGCTTTTACCCTCCCCTTGTAGTTCCGGGTCTCCCCACTCGGCGGTTTCCACAAGTTCCAGGGCAGAGCAGCTGGAAGCTCCCATGGCGTTAATGGATTCATGCACGGCCATTTGGCCGTGGATGAGCATGTACACTGAACAGGTGGCAAGAATGACCCCCAATATGAGGACCACGAGGCTGTGACCAGCCTTGAAGGTGATATGCTTGCGGGGCCAGCAGCAGCACACCCAGCGGCAGCGTGCGCAACAGCTTTGTGGGACAAAGAGCAGCAACCAAAGTAGCAGCACTAGCACGCCAATCAAAACACAGCTGAAGGGTAACGGCCTGAAGAATATGGCCCACACAGCAGCAGCAATGTCTTCTGAGTCGTTTGAGTCTAAGGCCTCCTGAAAATCCTCCAGTTCCTCTTCATCAAGTGCTTCGTCCATGTCCTTTCGCTGCTGCAGCCGACGCACCATTACGTCTTCAGACAACCCACTTGAGATCTGCGCAACATGGACAAAAACATATACGCAAGACAACAAGCACACGCACCCACATGCACAAACATAAAGACGTTTGCAGACACACAGAGTGCTCCACCCACGCAAAAACACCCACAACCACAACCTTCCCCAACACACCCCCTCCTCGCCACACACACATACACATGCACACACGCACATATATACACAAACAAACACACACACATATATATATATATACAAACAAACAAACAAACAAACGCACACACACACACACACTCACACACACACACACACACACACACACACACACACACACACACACACACACACACACACACACACACACACGCACACGCACACAAACACATACACATACGCACATACACACTATCTGACTCCTTCGTGATTTTCGTCCTAAATGCTCCTCTTTTGGAGTGAAGGCACAGTTAGAGAAGCAGGTAACAGTAATGTAACAGGAGTGAACAATCGTCCCAGGAGCCGGGTTTGTTCGGTCAACGCAAGTAAACACATGAACGCACGCGTAGTACATCGCTCCGCCGTGATAAACATGCTTTTCTCCTGAAGGCAGTAGTCACCGCCTCGCTTGTGGCACGGGAAATTATGTATTTTTCAAGCACATTGGGACATTTACTTCAGTAAATTTGTGTTCATGCATGGATGTAGGTGATTCTTCAAGTGCAGGCGTGCACACGTATTCACACACGTGTAAAAGCCCCAAAAAGTGTAGGCGTGTGGGCATGCAAACGAACATACCTGTTGAAATCATAGAAGCCTGTTGGAAGACATGAAACTACAAATATGCTTATGTACGCCTTCTAAAAATACTCACGCAGCTCAAGATAACTGTGGAACAAGAAAGTAGATACAGATACACTGAGAATGCAGCGTCACATGCAAAATCACTTAAACACCCACATTCATCCACAAGCAAGAACAGGAACACGCAACAGCGGCAGTGTCTCCCAGCTGAGCGCACTGGAGAGATGTTACAAAAGTCCTTACCGTATTCGTTTCCGGGTCCGTCCAGGGCTTGCAAATGCCTGTGGCCTTGTGCACTGCGAGAGCATCTTTGAAATCATCCGAGTACGGCAAGTGCAGAGACACCCCGGCAGCAGCGCGATCAAGGGCTTCTTTCACGTCAGCCATGGCCTCCGAAGTAGCGCTACTGCTGCTTGTGCTGTCGCCATCGCTAAGCTCTGCAGCGCTCACAGGCTCTGAGGAGACTTGAACCGATTGTGTGTGACGATGCCCATGCGCCCCGCCTGGGACGCTGAGGTTAGGGGCTTCATTGGACCTAAGGGCCTCTCCTGACAGGCAAACAAAGGTAGCTAGTACAAAAAGCAAGACAGAGAGGGCCGTAAGCCTTCGATGGCGAATGCGGGGTGGCGGTGAGGAACGCATGTTCTTTGAGGGATCGAGCGGCTGCAGGCGGTAGGGGTCCTGCTACTCAGGTCTCTTTGAAGTACGAAAATGAGAATAAAAAAAACAATTCGCTGGGAGTTACACTGAAAATAGCAAAGTGGAGGCAGTGTCACATTCCCCAAGCTTCAAATATACGCCTGCGAATACTACTTGCTGTGTGTGAGTGGCAGGGGGACTAGGAAGTAAATTTCAATGTAAAAGGGATAGAAATGAGCACCTGAAAGAATTAAATTGCTCTCAAAGAATACCAAAAACAAACATTGACGTAATAAACGCAAAAGCTGAGAAGAACTGGGGTAAAACAGAACAAACACAAGGGCAGTCGAAGGGTCCCCTCAAGCATCGGCGATTGTCTGCCACGCGGTGCGCGCAGGCTGTGCGCGGCTTGTGCGTTGAAGCAGTAACATTTATTTTCTGCCAAAACAAAGTAAATAAGGCTCTTTTTGAGTGCGGCTTCCTATAATCATGGCTTGTGTGAACCGTTGCTATTAGGCAGACACCTAGATGCGTTCCAGTCCTGGCTAGCCAGAGATGGAGCGCTCAGGACGGTGTCCACAGGACGAACTTTTCGCCGAATACAAACGAATTTTTAAATAGATTTGTTTTTTTGCGTTGGAATTGCTCCATCTGTTATATCCCACAACTCGTGGCAGGAGCAGTGGAGACACTGAAAGCAGACAAGACAAAATTACTAGGGACCCACGTGCGCCCACGCACACGATACTGTTTCCCTCGTTGATCTCCAGCTAGAGGCACGGTGGAGCAGTGCCCTGCCACCTGAGGCCTGATGTGCCTGAGAGAGCAATATGGCAGGAGGATAACTCCACACGGCAGATCCCCAGTTCCTCCGGAGGCGGAACTCTGCTATCATGGCAGATCAGAGGAACCAACTTCGCAGTCACGGGGTTTAGCCGTAGCTAGCCAGTAAAGTGCAGCGGATACAGGTGGGATGAGGTGCCCAGCGGCTTACCTAGTTGCGTCTGGCGGAGGGTAGCCATATTTACTTCAGACAGTAAGACCAATAAGGTCCTCGAAATAAAACCCAAGCCGGCAAATAAAACGTTGCATCCCCAAAACGTCTCCAGTTGCCGTATGGCGAGTAAAACTCAAGAGATGATGCATTTTGAAGTATAGTCCTCGCTGCATTTGAACTGTTTGTGGAACCTCTCCGTTCCCGTGGACTCGAAGCTCTTCCTACTGCAGGGTAGTTTGTGGTTCTGCCTCTTCAGGCAGCTTTAAGTATCTACTAATCCAATACTGAGCCGAATATGTCCACAGCTCCTACTAGTGGCATCACGATTTAGGGCTCCGGCGCTAGGCCCATACGTATTCGCACGCTGTTTCGGGTCCACAGGCCGGATAGACACTCAATATACGCAAAGCAAGTTAGCACGTGGCTTCAATAATTGCGCCAAGAAAAGCGGCGGCTGTCTTCTTCTATCAATTAATTCGTCTACTTCGGGGAGAGAATTTCAACTGGTTTCAGGAGTGAGAAATAAACAGAGCTTACATGAGGCCACGCTTAAAAGAAACATACTAAATCCTCGCCACGAAGACTGTCTTTGGGTAGCACCAAAAAATTGGTCTCTTCAGCATTTGCAAGGACGCCCTTCGCATGCTGCCAGAATAGCAGTATTGGCAGACAAAGGTAAGCATTCTTATTCATTTCTACAACAGAAATGCAGCCAATCAGGCGCCGGCGCTCGGCCTGTAGCTGGACTTTCCAGGAACAAATAATAGCACTACCCCTCCTTCCAATTTTGCATTGTCATGCTGCGGTTAAAGTGCATACTTCCAAGCCTTCAGAGACCTAAATCCTTCCGCAGAAGCTGAAGCCCCGTAGTGGGTGACCCTGAAAAGATACAGATGTAGGCGCAAGCGGCAAGCCAATTAGTGTTGGTAAAGAGAAAGTCACTGACGAAGGCTGCGGTGAAGACAGAGGCATCGGCTGAAACACAAGCGCACCCGAAGAAAAGAACAATAATATGAACAGTAAAAGAAATAACAATCCAAAAGTAAGTAACACATGGGAGAGAAAATACAGCATTTTTCAGGCTTCCACGTGTTGACCCCGAGAACCTAAAGTGTCCTCGAGGCGTCATGCCTGCATTTCATAACGTAAAGCCCGAACAGTGATCCTCTGACTGCGCACCTGACTTTGCGAGTGATGCCTCCGCGGCGCTTAGTGTCTTCTCGTCCAGCCGCCTTCTCACCTGTGGTGGCAAGAGGGTGGATGCACGTTCGTCCGGTTTCAAAATGCAAGCTCTATGGGTCTACCTTTATTGTCTATTGCTAAACTTCTTGCATGCTACTCCCGGTCGATCCATTCTCTGTGCTGCCTTACTTCTTCTTCCATGTCCGTCTGTTTCGTCTCCGCAGCCGTCTTGAGAATTCGCGAGACAACGAACACTCCCTTTGTCTCCAAGGCAGAGGATAGGCGAGACTCAAAGATGGACCAAGCACGCGACAATACAGCTGGACTTCCTGACTTAATTAGGCCACAGGCGGCCCGCTGAGATGCTCTGCAGATGTATAGAACAGAACGGCACAATAGATTATGCTTACGCGAAGTGTGTGGGGCCTGTAGGAAGGCGTTTGAATGCGCCTTATTGTCGCTTGTGCTGTGCCGTGCTCTTCCTTCCTCTTCTCTACCGCTGCAATCTGCGTCAGTTCATCACTCTGCCCGTTCCTTCTGTTTGTCTCGAACGTCATTCTCTCCTGTGCTTCCCCTTAATTTCTCTTCTGCAGCCTCTCCGTGTGGCTCACTTTCTTGCCCACTACTTTGGTTCCCTCTCTCCGCCTCTGTCTGTGCTTGCACAAGTTTGATAGCCCGCTACGCAGCTTTATAAATTTTGTCACTCAGCTAGGCAATAGTGGCTGTGCGTGCAAATCAACTTACGGATTGTTAAGTAGCTCTGGTGTCTCCCGCTTGAGATCAGCTCCAAGGGCATCCATTGCCTTGAGGGCCGCTGTCTCTCCTGTGGGTAGTCGTGAAAACAAAGAAATAACTAAACATGTTGGCTGGACAGCCTCCAGTGAATATAACAGGGAGGACACAGTCTCAAGGCGCCTCTGGAAGCGCCAAAACTGCCAGCAGCCCTGTCTTCTGTATTGTCTGTCACCCCTTACCTTCAGGGAGCGACGAAAGCAGCAATAAGACTTTCGAGGCGCAACTGTCTCGCAGAAGATCCCCTACCACACGCTGGCCTGCTGTTGCCTCCACTGGGATGGATTCAAATGCAGCACAAAGGGCAGATGCAATAGTTGGCCGCAGCTCCGATAACCGCTGAGAGAGCGACTTGAGGCTGCAGTAAAATGGCAATCCAAAAAATGCGAGTTACGAGGTAACGGCCAGAAAGTAAGAAACCGCGAAGATTGACAGGGATATCTGGCGCCATATCTGTGGTGTAAAAGACACTATGCAGGCAGACACAGTGATTCCCGTTGCTGACAAAGAAGCAACACGAAAAGGTGCACACCTGCACACAGATGGATGCAAAATAGACGGCATGGTAATGCAAATACAGCTGCAGCGGATAAAAGCTGTTATGCGAAAGAAGAAACGGCAGCAGCAACAAATGAAGCACATTGTCAACGAAAGGTCTGGTGTTATGCGCTTTTACTGCTAGGTGGAGAGTACCTGGTGGGCGAGGGTAGAGACAGAAGGGCCTGATAGTGCGTTGGCAGCTGCCTACACACACCATCTTGTTGCAGTAGCTGGAGCAGCAACAGGTGCCCGTAGGGGTCGAACGCCAAATCAAGGGACTTTGGCAGAATCTCCTGCAGCAATTAACATGAATGAATCACAAGAGACACCAAGCGAATCAAGTCTGCTCACTTGAATCACAGCCCTATGCCCCGCCCTTTGTTTCCTGTGCTCTGCGCGCTGCACGCCATACACTGACAGACACGGCAACTACGCAGCTATGTAAAACTTGACACCAGCAACCTCTCGTATACGTACATACCACATGTACAAGCCTATATATATCCATATCGTACGCGAAAACATGAGTGTGCATGTGTAACATGAACATAATATGCGCAGCAAGCCCTTGTAGATATTTGTAAATGCACGCGTTTTTTGTGTGCAATTGCACTCATCAAAGTATGTAGATGTGGTAAGGGCGTTACGTCGGATTATCTGCAGCTAAAGTACAGGAATGCTTATGTGGGCATACGGCGTCCTAGTAGGAGAGAGGCGCATGCAATGAATATATGTATATTGCAAAAGACGATTGTGCGCTTGTGCGCGTGAGTACTCATCTGTGAATGCGTGTACAAGCAGGCATATGATGGCCTGATACGCCTTTGTGGAAACAAAGAGGTGTATGTAATGCATTGAGATACATGAAGAAGCCGTGGCCATCGATAAGTATACACAAAGCCAAATGCCCGGCAACCCACTGCCCATTTTAACCACTATACAATGCCGACAGAAACAAACCCCTGGCCTCTTTGTATGCTTACAAGCATCCAGCAAATACTTGCAGTAATACAGATGAAGCAACATGTCGGAACCAGCTACTTCATATACGTGAGACGCAGATCAAAAATTGGAGTCACGCACCACTAAGCACAGATAGATAACTACGTTATCTGTGTAAGTGAAAAAACACTTGTGCGCCGTGTAAGTACTTATTAAGCTGTCTGCAAATATGTAGAAACCCCTGTCCCTTGTATGCAGCCGTGCCTTGAGAATCTGTTCACTGAGGAGCTTTGTGTCGTCCACCGTCAACAGCAGCCGCAGCAGCAGCACGCAATCCACCGCATTGGTAGCGAACGCCACACAATGTTGCTTCAAACCCTTGACAAACCCCTTGCGCTCCTTGGCCGTTGCGAAGCCCAACATGCAGCACAGAGCCTGCAGCAACAAACCGGAAATACGCCCTAAGCACTCAGCTCTATACCTTTGGCAGACGAGCTCCATACCGTGGCAAAGTGAGCACCTAAAAGTAAAGAGTGCAGTGTGCATGCATGCGTTTGTGTCTTCATGTTGCCCTAGATAGTAGTTACAAGTTTGAGCTGCATACGCAGCGTCTCTTGCTACGGGCCTCACCTCCACGCCATCCTTGGTTGTGGCCAGGTGCAGGGCGCCTTCGTAGACGGTTTTCCAGATAGCGCCTTGCTCTTCTGCGGAAGCCACGCTGAAAACCGAAGACAACACACAGTCAGACTGCAACAGAAGGTGAAGAGAACACACGCAATGCAAGACACACAAAAACTGAGCAGATCATATCCAAATATACGCGAAAATGCACAAACGATAGAAACAAAGCCAGGACACGGTTTTCTTTCTGACTGCCATCACACAAACAGAAACACCACATAAACATAGCCGCTCAATGGCCAATTTCAGCATAAACACTTAACGACTCTGGCGGCGGCAAGAAAGTGCACAGATGGACAATCTAAACCGGCCTAATGCCTAACATTCCCAGGCAGTTTGGCTCCAGATTCTTACTCTCTCTCACCTGCAATAGCCCTTCAGAATGCGGTGTACGTACGCCTTACTTAGCAGTTCCTTATCGACAAATCTTTGAATTAAAGTGCTAAGCTTCTCTGCAGCACAGGAAAGCAAGAGATGAACAGACACCAGAAAGATGCACATAAGCAAAACACAGACAGCGGCGAACCATTTCCCTTCACAGTGCACCCGCACCGGATTGCTGGCGGCAGTATCTTACCAAGGGTCGTGGCCTTCTGTTCTTCCGACAGGAGTCCTGCCACCTGCGCAAACGACGCCGCTTGCAGCACGTTTGGCACAGCCACAAGCAGCGCCGGCTCCAGCAGTAGAGAATTTAGCAGCTTCTGCTGTCTGCAAACTCACAAAAAGCATCCCATGCAGGCAATTATCAGAAAGCATATGCGTGCGCCGCACGTGCTCAGCACCCAGGTTTTCCTATAAAGCTCCACATGTTTATTTGGTGCGCTTAGCAGGCTTTCGGTGGCCTCTTTGGAACATTACAGGGAAGACTGTAGCGCTGGTCCCACAACATCCAGGGGTTCTCAAGTGATTAAGGCTGTAGGTGCACCAGGACTTGAGAAATCTATCATAGTCACACTCAGGGGTGAAACTGAAATTTGCGATTTCCTCAGGTGGAGCGTACCCCAGCGCTGTTTTCTGAGAGGTATAAATGTATTCCCAGACGGCTGCACCATGCTGCACAGGAAAAAAACGCTGAGCCGATGAAACGCTCATTACAATAAAGGACCTTCTGCGCCCCCAGTTCATTAGCCGCAAGAAATGCAGAGCAGAAAAGAGAAAAAACTCGGACGGTAAATAGTAATGGAAGAAAACAGGCAAAAAGCGGGAGCAAGCATCCCAGCAGATTTCAGGAAATGACTGGGAAAAGCACTAATGAATTAGAGCAATGCGTGATGAAAGAGAGCATTGGTGGAAAAATATAGAGAGCCTCGTAGTTCACCTTTGTAAATGCGGTGTCTCTGCGACTGGCCAAGAGTGCTGCGAGCTTCTCCTTTTGTTCCGTAGTGGCGTACAGATACATTTTAATGCATACATGATGAAACGACTTGCATTCGCAGAAGACGATAAAGTCCTCTGAGCACGCCCAACGCACTGCCAAAACAAACCAGATAAAGCTCCAGAGCATGGACCCTAAGCATCAGGATTTTGAATTCATTCGGAATGGCGTGCCCAAGCTTTGACAAGCCTACTAAAAAGCAAATCCCACAGGCGCTTGCGGGTGTCTCCCTCAGCATATTTCAAACAAACTTGCGCGAGACGTGCTGTGCAGCTGTGGCGGTCCTTCTGTGGGCGCACACATCATGCAGTGTACGTACAACGCTCAGTTTACTGGCGCTGCAAAACGCGTTAGCAGCGCCGCGTATAAGCAGGAACAGTTTGGCACTTAAACGCTACGAAAGAGTTGGGAAACGCGCACGCACTCGGGAAAGCGGGGCTTCTAAGAAGTCCACGGCACTCTTCACCAAGCTCTTTAAGTCCTTGTTGCGGCGGGGAGCACCAGGTTCACCAGGACTGTCGGAGCTTTCGCTGGCTCCCCCAGGGCCCTCTACTGTTCTTATGCTGCGCAGTATGTCATTGTAGAGTTGATAAGACTCGTGTACAAACACTTTATCCTCAGCTGTTTTGCTGTTGATCACTAGCCTCAGCAGCTTACGGCGTTTGCTGCCGCTCAACTGGTGCCGTTGCTGGCTGTCGCCGGAGTCTCCTTGTGCTTCGTTTTCAGCGCACTCTGAAGGACCAGTTTCAGACTCTTTGTTGGATTTTCCTGCCTTCTTAAAGCACGCAGCAACTGCAGCGTCCGCTGTCTCACCAGGAAGAAGCAGATGCGGAAACTTGTCTAGGATAGCGCGCAACCTCTCCTGCCCATTCACAAGCTTCCGCTTGCGGGGCTCTTCGCCGCTGCGACCACCTGTCAAGGCGCCATCTTTGAGTTGGCCATTCCGGGGCCTTTTCTGAGGCCTTTCCGGACCCTTTGCACCTTTGAAGTCCTTGTTTCCCCTATCTCCGTCAGTGTTCTGTGCCTGAACTTGTTTCTTCCCAGGTTTGTTGAATTTGCTTTCAGCCTTCTTGTGCGCAGCTTTGAAACAAGTGTCGCCGTCGAGGCCTTTGATATCTGGGCGCTTTGGAAGGAACCCACCTTGTTGCTCTCTTGTTCGTTTCTCCGCTAGCCTTTTTTTGCCTTGGGTTTTCTGGTTCTTCTTTGGTCCCCCCCGACGCGCCGGTCGAGCAGATGGCCTCCCGTGGCGCTGGGCCTTCACCTTTTTATCAGCTCGAGGGCCCTTCATTTCAGCGGATTGCAGTACGAGGGGCAAGCGCGGGAGAGCCTCAAGGGTCAGGGGCAAGACTTGTGGCCTCTTGGGGATCTCTCTTACCCCAGTTAGAACCAAGCGCCTCTCGTGCACTGTAAAAGGAGCCCGTTAGATCTCAGAAGTACAGGGGGCCCGCTGCTGAACGTTCTCAGTTGCAGTGGGGCCCCACGCCAATCGATTCGCTGGGTGGTGCTCGCAAATCAGCGGGGTGGGATCCGCATAAAACATAAAATTGTAAAATGCAGATATGCATGCGTTGTTTTTTATTTATTTTTTAGCTCGTTTGTCCAAATGCTGCCGTGCATGCAGGCCGGCTATCTGCAAGACGTTTAGGAGACCCTGCTAGGGCTTGATGCGTCATTGCCCTCAGAGGTCACTGACCGAGGTTCCTGGTTTCTATACTCTGCAGCTCGGTACAGCAAGATTTCAGTTTGATGTAAGCCGATATAGAGGGCTCAGAAAGGCAGTGCACCTGCCGTGTGAAGCACCGAAACGAAACTAGTCTACTGGAGGGACCCAGCCGCCCTGCTGCCTACTCTTCCACTTTGAAGAAATGCCATAACGGCCTCTAAAGAGTAACAGCAGCAAATACAGGACTATTGCTGGATGCAACATGAGAACCACTGGTCATATCGAGAGAAGGCGCAACAGCTGCAAGCCTTCTACTTGACTAAACGCGCTTAGCTGGGTCGCACCCACAGTTTCCTCAACAGGAAGAGTTTCGACACGAAGAGAAAAACGGAAGCTCAAAGGCGCAGATAGAAGCACTTTCAAATGTTTTCAGGCGACAGCGAACCCTCTTCCGAGTCGGAGGCTGCAGCGGAACTGCTGGAGTCTGTGCTGGGCATAGGTGATAGCCAAAAGGAGAGCATGGTGCATGAAAGCTCTGACTCGGGGGATCATAGGAGCTCTGCAGCGCCCAGATCTTCTAATCCTGAAGGTTCTAGCAAGAAAGGGGAAAAAAGGGAGACAACGCAATGCACGAGTCCCAAACACACCGACAGAGAAGGATACCTTCACCCAGAGCCTCACGAAGGGCTGAAGCTTGAACTAAAGGGTTTACCTCTACAAATTGGACCACCTTCCAGTCTACGCAAACACCCAGACGATATAGTGCGACTGCAGCCGCACCAGAGATTGCTGCGATTGTGTATAGATGGGGATCCTGATGCGGACCCAGCCGGTGAGCATCACTTTCTTTCTTTACTGTTTCTTCATGGGCGCGCATAGCGCTGATCGACAATTGTAGGTTAGGTAACTCATAGTTTCACCACCCGTTGTGATTCACGGTGGTTCATGATGCATGCAGAGCTGCTTTCAGCCTATCTGGCCTCTCTGGGGAGCAACCCGTTACAGGCGTCGACTGTTCTCCAAGACAGATATGTGCAGGTTGGAGGCATGTGGTACCTGGTGCAAAGAGATGCTTCTCGGGGGGAGATTGTGTTAGGACCAACGCCGTCAGATATTCAATTGCTAACTGCAGAACGACATTTAGGGCAACTCCGTTTCTCCCGTTGCGAAGCGCCAGAAAATCATCTGGCTGAGGAAGTTGAAGAGGAAGTGAGAACCGTTTTGGCAGCAACCCAATACAGCACAAGGTGGAAATTTGTGTGCTTTGCTGACAGGGTCAAATTCCGCATTTTACCCCAGAATTGCCGCATGGTGATTTCGTAATGACTTGTGTTTCGACTGTTGCAGGAGGATACCACGTGGGAAGCACTCCCGTCTTTTGCGCGATTTCACAAAATTGAGCAATACGGAACAAATGTGAAGCCCAAAAAGCCCAAAAGCCGCAGAGCCCGAGGCTAAACAGCCAACGGTTGTTGACGTATGCTTGTATGGAAGTTTTCACGCATTTCGTGTGTGGAGTTCTATCCAAAACTTAAACTGAGAATGCATTAACATATATTGCGAGAAAACTTGCACAGGCCTATGCTGCAACACACAAAGAAATGGTGAAGTTGCAGCACCGTGCAGTTCGTATGTAACTGAGTTCTGCCTATCACAAATCAGCGTCAACGCAAGCCGCGAATACGTTATAGTAGAGCGAAGCTTCAGTGGCCAGTTTTAGTTTGAATGATACCTTCAGGATTACTTATTCAGGTCACGAGTGGCGACTTGAACTGTTCAGTCCTTGCCATCTAGACTAGATCTATGTTGTAGGAACAAACGTTTGGGACGCAGCCCGAAGAATCGTTGCCTTGTTCTTACGGAATAGTGCAACGAAGCGTTCGTTTTCCCCTTACTAGGGGAGAAACTATCGCCAGTTTCCCGTCAAGGTCGGGCGGTAGTGCGAATTTACAGACACTGCTGCATATTGCGTTTTCGCTTTCAGCTTATGGCGTGTTCTTCTGGTCCCTGGCTATGGTTTTTGACGCATTGCATCGATATCCCTGATTTGTGACGGCGTTGCTGGGGATAGTTTCATTTCGCTGGCAGGCTTCAGATTTTCTGCACCCAATTGTACGCAAGCCAGTGCTTATTCAAGACATTGTAGGGCAGCAAAGAGGAAGCATGCACTGGAAATAATATGGCACGAAGCAAACCCCAGATAAACGGGTGACACGTGCGCATGCAGTCCTCTTCCATGTCAGAAGTGGAGCAAACGGATTTAACAAATTTCGGACCCAGAAGCTGGCATGATGTGTCCCTCATGGAATTGTGCTATCCACTGGGTCTCGAACGCGGGTCAGTCCGCGCAGGTGAAACTGGCATGTGCGTTGCTGGGGCTGACGTGGCGATGGAACAGGCTCGATCCTTTACATGAGTTTCTGTAGAAGGCACAGTTCAAATTAAAATTCATTTTTTAGAGTTGACCTGCAGTACCACGTGTTTATTTCTTGCGTTCCTGCCCACGGTCCCACACTCCGGACTTGGGCGCGCAGCTATCGTGACGGTCTCTCATCGAGTCTACATTTTCCCATTGTTACCTTCTGCTCGTTCTGCTATTCAGTAGTCTTGTGCATTATCTTCGTCCGATTTCTTATATAAAGCGATTCTCTGCGGCCTTCGCTGGTTGCTGGCTCTGGGGTCATCCGTCCCCGGGCCGCCTTTGCGCATCTACTTCCACTATCCAGCTGTTACATGGTGCGTGGTCCCCATTCCGACTTCTGGAATGGCGTTGGCTGAAGAGACACGTGAAGCTGTGTCTGCAAGGGCACTTAAAAACATGAGGCACAACAGCAGCGACTAGATGGGCTCCTCAGTTGTACAGGCAGCCATCTTTACCCCTTCAAGATGGAGGCAGCACTGAGGGCTGCAGCGCTGGAGGAATTAGCTCTGCATCCATTCCCTGGGATATCCTTCGAGAGGCTCTGTGAAATTTTGCATCAGGAGAAGGAGTTTGACTTGGACCTGTTCACAAGAGTAAACGCTCAACTTCTTTGCTTCTACTCGCTTCTCGTTCTTTTCTGTTTACGTGGTCACATTTAGAAGCGAAGAGACTTTTGATGCCTCCATACACTGTCAGGCCCCTCAGTGGATACTTGAAAACCAGAACGCGCCGTTTAGTGAGGAAAATGCTTTTGGAGTGACACAGAGCTCTCTTTGGAATTCGGCGTTTGTTTTATTTGCGCTTCCTTCCAGGCTGTTCTCTGGCGCTCGCTTTACTGTTGCCACGATGTTGATTTCACTCTGTTCTCCTCATTCACCACCCAGCAGCATTCCCAGCCTGCTGCACCTGCTAAGGCGCATGCAAACCATGGGAGACTGGTAACGTGGAGGGATCCTGCGGTTCCTCCCGATTTGTTGGGAGTGCCTAGCACCATTTATTGTAACAGTGAAGGGATAAATGAGGCCGCTACACGGAACACAGCAGGGGAGCCTTCAGCTACTCCTGCAGACTCTTCAGCAGCAACTGTAGCCCCAGACGCATCCTTAGAACAACAGAAACAGTGGCTGTTGGCGGCCTGTGCAGAAGTTCCTGTTAGACTTTTGACCGCCACAGACTTGACCAGTGACCGGCCGGACTATGAACGCCGAGTAAAGGATATACCGTTTCAAATCCTTCGCAATATTTCCTGTCACAAGGAAAACGGTGAGTTCTGTAACTAGCAAGCTAGCGCAACACCAGTGGCCTTATCTAGCGACAAGATTAGCAAGACAGAAATACATGTATCCTTTTTGAAGAAAGTATTGCTCTTTTCCACTAATTCAACGCTTGCTGCCACCTGTATTTGCAGTGGCAGTTTTGGCGTTGCTTTCGTTGGATGGGACGCTACTGATGTTCTTGTTGATTCACTCTACATCTTCTGGTGTGGGTTCGTCTCGTGGTACATCTGATAGTGTGTGATATGCTGGTTTGCTTCTTGTGCTCATTTCTTTAGCTATTTCTTGTGGATTTTGGTTCAGGCCAGTGGCAGTATCGTATAGCCCAGGAGCTGCAGATGGATCCAAAAACTGTTTTCCACCACTTGAAGCCCCTGTACAGAGATGAGCTCATCTGCCATATGCAGCTCTCCATACCACCCACTCACAAGCTGGGGAGGCGAGGGGGCTCCACGGGTGGCTCCAATCGCAGTAGAGCGGGCTCGGACTTTCCCGCTGAACTCCATGTTCTGGAAGGAACAATTTCTCCTTCTCCGGGGACACCAAGGACGAATCTCACCATGTCTGCTTTGCTGTGGAGCAGCAGTTTCTTCTCCCCCGTCAGGCTTCCGGCCCACTTGAGAGGTCTTGTGGCTCTGCAGCATTTGCTGCCGCTGCAGCAGCAAGCGGTTCGGCTGCTGCTCAAGGCGCCCAACAATATTTTACTTGAAGAGGAGGTCAAGCAGTTTTGCATCTCCAAAATTCTCACATCTGATGAGGTAAGCAGATACTGAAGGCGCCCCACTTTGCTTGAATGTTGCTGCTACTGTTTGTACTGCTGCTGCCGCACTGCTTCTGCGGCTGGTGGCTTCCACATAGTTTGCATGCATCGAGTTCTGCTTCTCGGAAATGCGGTCTTTCTTCGATTACTGCAGTTTCTGCTGTTGGTTGGACAGGTGCGGTTGTTGCCGCGCAGGCACCTTACTTGCGTTTTAGCGACAAGCAGCTGCATCGCCTGTTTTACAAGCTGCGGGAGTCTCTAGAGCGAAGTAACCAAGTGCAGCGGGTGAGGGCTTTTTGCAGACAGACAGCTCGTTTTGAACGATGTCTTCTTTTGTGCCCCTTCGAGGCATCACGCACTACAGCTAAAAGCTTGACACCACAGGCCCAGGAACACCAAGGCGAGACACGGGGTGGCAAGATGATGTGAGTTTACGTGAATCCAAGTCCATTACTTTTACTACGCGTGCGTTCACCATGTCCGGTGGCCATTGGCTTTGTAGATGGCCTCCTTTTGCGGGTCTCTCATTTCCTATTGTGATGTAAGCGTATTAGTAAGTACTTTGGGGAGCGAGGCTTACCTCATGGCTTTACTTCTGGATCCTGATGAAGCTTTCTGTGAGGCTCCGCAGCGCCCAAATCAAAGTGGAAGAAGGTACAGTCACAGCGGCTGCGGAGGCCGCCAATATCCCAGATGTAGGCAATAGAAAAGAAGACCGAGGTTTGTCAGGTACTGTAATGGAAGTGGAAGACGGAGATGATGACCCTTCACAAGTGTACGTGTGGGTAGCCATATGGGTAAAGGGCTCTAAGTGGTGTGACAGTTTGATTGCGAGGCTGGAGAGAAGCGTCAGATGCTTCGGCAAACCATGCCTTCACTGGTGCAGCTTGGACGCTCTCGACGCTGTTTCGTCACTGCAGGGTGGACTTAGATGGGGTGCCATTGGCCACTTTGGCTTCTCTCTTGCTAACTGCCGCTGGCCCGGAAGGTTTGACCACGGTGGAGCTGTCTCGGCTGCTGGGACTCGATATTAAGCGCAGCGGGAAGGCTTTGGTGGTGCGCCATTCTGCTCCTCAGTTGAACCTTTGTCTCGCACTTCCCTTTCCGAAGTGCTTTTGTAGACGCCCTTGGCCTCACAGTGCCTCAAATTCGCCTATGTTCAGAGTCATGCGTACACTGGAAGTGTGCTGGGATTGCTGGGATTGTATCAGCTACGGCGTTTGTCTGTTTTAGTGAGACGCGTGCGCGCTTGACAGTACATTTTGAATCCTGTGGGGTGACTCTGTCTCAGGAGTTTTCTAGGCGAAATTTAGTCTCGCGAGTGGCAGAGAGGCGTGGCAAGTGCTTTTTGTACAGATACATCAGCAAGGATCTGCCCCATTTCCAGGCACTGCTGTCCGAGTCGCCCTCCGCCGATACGGCCAGCTTGAATGCAAGGGTGTGAGTGCTGTCTTGCAGCAAATAGGGATACACACTGCGTACAGTCAAGTGCCAGCTCGCCTTTACAGCTTCAAGCCCTCTTCTCGAATGTTTCGTTTTTCGTTTGGAATCGTTGGTGCAATCGCAATAAATTTTATATGGTAGGAGCTGGCAAAACGTTTTGGTGCAGTGCAGTGGCTCCATTTTCGTTTGCTGCTACCTCAGGGAAACTGAAGCTCACAGAGAAAGCTTTGACATCGCTTTAGGTTTAGAAGAAGACGGAGGAGGCGAGAAGAACAGAGCAGGTTCGGCCTTCTTAACTGCAAGTGGTTACACTGGTACCCCAGAAGTTGCCAAGAAAGAAGTATCAGTCTATTCAGCAATAGTTCGTATCCCATCGAGAACGCCGTGGCTGAGAGGACAAGCCTCATTTCCCACTGCTACAGAATCAACAGCTGCTGCTGGTGGTGCTGCTGCTGCTGCAACAGAAAAAGCACGGGAAAAGGGAGCTAAGGAAGCTTGTTATGACCGATCAGCACGCCGTCAAGGCGGGAGGCATCAACAGCAGGACTCCACGGCCCGG